GCCCTGGGGGAAGGCAGCCCTTGGCCCCCAGCCCCCCGCCAGCGAGCACCCGCCTGGCATCTCCACTGCCACCGCTCCCAACCCCGGCTCGACCCAGCACCTATGGCTGGCGGGGACCCCCCAGGGATGCAGGTGAGGCCCCTGACCCCTCCGTGGGGCTTGACCCAGCGATGCACTGCCCTGGCAGGAGGACAGGGCCCCCCCAGCAGCATCAGCAGGTTGTGTTTAACCAGCCACCACCTCCCCAGCACTGTCCTCCTGGGGACCTGGCGCAGGGATGCTCGGCTAGTGACGCTGCGCTCCAGCCAGCTGGGCCCTGCGGGTGCTGCATCTCCCCTTCCCCTTGTCCCAGATGCAGGGGGAATCCATGGGGGATTGCCTGACCCCTGCGTCCCACAGGCTGGGGGTACCCACAGGGTCTGCCCCATCTCCTTGTCCCACAAACAGGGGGACCCATGGGGAGGCCACCCCAACGCCTTGTCCCACACAGGGACCATGGCACAAGGGGCAGTACGGCCTGACCTCGAGGGCAGTGGTGCACTGAGCACCTCTCGGTCTGCCACTGAACGACCCCCACCCCCAGGATCACAGGGCATCTGTGGCCCCAGAGGCTGGTGACTGGGGTGGCAGCACCACGGGAGGCCCCTCTCACCTCAGCCCTCGGTCCCCACCGTGCCCGAGGCAGCTCAGAGCAGGGAGATGGGGAGGGCAGGGAGGGACGTGGGGTTTGTGGCAGTGCAGGTCTGCAGGCTGTGCTCTCCCTTCCCTTCCAGGCACAGAGAGCGACAGCGCCGAACATGACTATGAAACCGTTGATAACAATGTTCAAAAGACAATTCACAAGATGCAGACAATTTTTCCTTTCTAGCCCTCTAATTTCTGGAAGCTCCCAGCCTCCAAATACTCTTGAGACCTCACATGACACCGGTTACTTGCAGAGGCTAAACACAGCCTCAGGGATCTCCAGTGCAACCTCCAACTGCCTTGATCCTGCAGAGAGGCACTCGCTTTCCTCGAAGGCAAGCAGCTTGTATGCTGTCAGGACAGACCCAGGCACAGAATAAATCCCCTTGTGGTGTCCTCAGCTGTCACCCAGGGGACCCTCCAGCAGCACCAGACCAGCACACAGCTGGGCAGCCACCAAGATGCCAGCCCAGGCCCTGGTTTTGCTGGTTTTCTCATCCATTTTTTACCCATTTTTCTCATTCATTTTAACACTTTCAACTAGAAGCAACATCTGTCCCAGACCTCCATGGCCCCCTCCTGCTTGCTCTTGCAGATTCTTGGCGCCTACAAAGGCCTCTGCTGCACTCATGGCATGGGATGCAAAAAATAACCTGAAAAACAAATAAGGACCAATGCTTCTTTTCCTGGAAGTTTGGCAAAACCCAAGGAAAGTGGCAGAGACAAAGACCTCATAGTCCTGATGTGCATTAAGGGAAAAGATCCGGCAAGGGGAGAACTTTACACCAAAAGCAAGTAGGTGTTTCACTCCTGCATCATGCATTGCGCTCCTCTTCTTTCAAATCAGAGCTGGAAAATAAACTATTTAAATTTCATTTAAGATCAGACTGCTTTGGGTTTTTTTTACCCTAGTCCAGTGAAGAGTAGCTTTGGGTTCAGTTTTTCAGTTCCTGTCATTCCTCACCCAGAGCCCTGGGCAGAGTCCCAAAGCTGCAGAGAGGGTCTCATTCATTTGAACTTGGCACAAGTCCTGGCTTGGGTTTGGGCTGTTTACTTCGCTGGCTTTAGTTCTGCCCTGAGATTTACACTCAGTATCAGCACTCTCTCAAACCAGCATTGTGAGAGAGACACTGGCTATTGCTGTTGAGGTCCTTTTACCAAATACCCAAGGTCGGACAACCCAGCTCCCATCTGCAAACAGGTACGAGCCTTTCATTAACAGCACAAAAATCACAGGATCAGAGAATCCCAGCATGGTTTGGGTTGGAAGGGACCTGAAAGATCATCTGGTCCAATTCCTTCCTAGCCCAGGTTGCCCAAAGCCCCGTCCAACCTGGCCTTGAACCCTTCCAGGGAGGGGGCAGCCACAGCTTCTCTGGGCAGCCTGTGCCAGGGCCTCACCCCCCTCATCACAAGGAATGTGTTCCTTATGTCCAGTCTAAATCGACCCTCTTCCAGTTTAAAACCATTGCCTCTTGTTGTGTCGCTACAGGCCCTGGTAAAATGTCTCCATCTTCCATACAAGCCCCCTTTATGTACTGAAAGGCCACTCTAAGGTCTCCCCAGAGCCTTCCCTTCTCCAGGCTGAACAGCCCCAAATCTCTCAGACTGTCTTCATGGCTTCATACAACATACACAACTCCAACCGAGACCCACCGCAGTGGCGTTTAAGTCACCACAAAATCTATTTTTGTTTTTTCCCAGGGATAAAAGTAATTGCTGGAATATGGCTGGGGAGAAGATGGGCTCCATGAAGGAGGAGGGGAGCAGAACACAGAGGAAACCAGAACAACTGAAAATGCCCAAATGTTTTTCCTTGTCTCCTTCATCTGAGCCAAAAGCATTCCGAGTTTGGATTTCACAGGTAGTTCACAGATAGTTTTAAATGCAAACTTTCTGTGAAGCAACCAATGCTTCTGTCCTACAAGACCTATTCCAGATCATCCTTCTAGCCTCACCCTCCAGATGAGAGCAGATGCTCCTGGATGCTTTGAAGATCAAACAGGAAAGAAACACTGGGCAAAGACTTAAACTCCCTCCCCAGCCGATGAGCTTTTCCTCTCCAGTCACAAGTGTTTTGTCCAGTCACACAACTATTCTCTTTACTGCAAGCAATTTCATTCATCTTCATTTCCAAGTCATCAGGGATTTTCTTCCTAACCCGCACACCTCTTGCAAAAGGGAAATGACAGTAATTTGGCTTCTAGCTCTGCTGGACTCTGCCTGGCAGTTCAGCTGTCACACACCTACAGCACAACCTGGCCCCAGAAGTGCTACAGCTGTGCCACAGAGCTGAGCAGGACAGTGGGTTTTGCCCCAGCACTAACGCCTGGGTCCAGCAGCCAGCCCCACGATGCGTACACAGGGATGAAGTGCTTTTCCAAAGCCAGGTCACTTCACCACTCCCAGGTAACAAAAATCCCACAACTCGCAACTCCCAGTGGCACCCGGAGCCCACCAGCATCAGCCCTGGCTGCACGCGCAGCTCTTCCAGCTGGCCCCGTGTCCCCAAGAACTCAGCAGCAGCAACCAAGGGCCAGGCTAGGCCAGTACAGCAAACTGGGCTCCCCTGACGGGCAGCAAGAGCGTTTCAAGCTTGAAATATGGTGGGTCCTTCAGCACCACATTCACCACAAATGCTGTGGTTCCTCCTGTGAGAAGCTACACGCCTGACAGGGGCGTGGTGAAAAAAACCTTCCTCAATTAATATTCAAAACTCCTGAAGTGCTTCTATTAACAAATGCAAAACTATTCCCAGAAGGTAGTTTTCAGCTTTGCATTTTGTGTAAGAGGAAGCGTATCATGACTAAGTGGACAGAAATATGCTGCCCCCAGCACACTGCCTCCCTGAACAAGGCAGGACCGTGCAGGGGAACAGGAAACACACAACCCTCCACACTGATACAGCACCAATACCAACCCCGCTCTTTCCTTCGTCTTCTCAGCTATGCTTTAAAGATAAAGAAAAGCTTGCTCTACATGATGCAATTCATTTGAGCTTCAGCTAAACTACTTTTGGTGGCAGAAATCACCCTGCCTGTATTTGGAACACTGGTACAACATGTAGCTTTCTTCAGTAACACAATTATTTCTTGGCATCCCTTCACTTCAGTTTGACCTTTTAAAGCAATTTACTTCAAAAGCTAAGGAAAAAATAAGTATAGTTAAAGAAACTCTGAAAGCATTAGCTGTGTTTTTATGTAGACAGTTTTTTTCTTTAAGGAAGAAGGGAAGCCGCTAGAGCCACACACACATGCAAGATTACCCAAATTAAAAATTTACTGGAAACATTCAAAAGCTCTAGTAACAAGATCAGCTCATAGTACAAATATAGATTTAAATGCAAAAACGAAACCAATTAAAAAATCTATTCATGATTACTATACATTAGTGGAATATACTGATAGCTACCCACTTTGTGAATGAAATGTAATGGAAGCTGAGTTAGGAGAAACAGCTCTGGAAACAAAAGACAATCTGCCCAGGACAAGATTAGAAAGGTTCTTCTTTCTAACACAGGCATCCTCAAAGGAGACAAAAACAAACTGAAGGTGATGTAGCTTTGTGGGAACTCAGCTTTCCCACATCTGTTTATGCTTTGTTACATGGTCACAGCACATCATTGAGTCCAGTTAACAGAATCCTGTACATTCTGCTCGTCCCTGAACTCCAAGGTGGAGGCACTCATAGAGTAACTGGGACTTTCAGAGGCTAGAAAGAGCAAAGATCACCTTCCATGTCACAAAGCTCGGCAGGGTAACTTGAAACACCGACAAGCATTTGCTTAGAACTAAATCCAGCTGGAAGTAACTTCACTCAGCATCCGTTGACTTATAGTGATCATCATCCACAGTGGAGTAGATGTGTCCCTCGCTGCTGAGGAACTCAACGGCTTGCCTTTGAAGAAAAAAGAAAAATCAATGGCTCCCTAGTTCTTGCCAACACCTTTCTCTCGGGAATTTCCCATTTGCAAACCCCATCCTTACTGTCCCCTTCTGGCATCTGTCATGGGAAGCTCCTGGTGGCTCTACCCAGTGAGCAGTTTCAGTGCTGCTCCAGCAGTCAGCAGCACTGAGTTTCTCCAAAGCTATAGCAAGACATTCCCCCGCAGCGCCCAGCCTGCCACAGAGGGGAAGGCCACCACTCAGTACTTCCCAGGTAGAAGGAGTACCTGCCACTCTGCTTCAAAGGCAGCAGGAAGATAATGGACGTTAATTACTGGTTTTCTAAGTCTCAGGGAGGAGAAGTTATAAGAGACAACAAAGAAGAGAACAAAGAGTCTATTCCTGAGTTTTGATGAGTGCACAGCGAGCAAGGTAGTCTTTGAATGGGATAAAATACTGCTGAGGCACTGCAGTACTCCCAGGTACCTACTACTTTGCTACTGAACTGTTAAACACCTCGGAAAATACGGAGAGAAGCATTTTATCACCCCTTCACTGACAACAGCTCACTGAAGCTTCAGAGCTCACTACTGCATCCTACTGGGAACAGCTGAAATTACTAGCACAGTTCCACAAGGAAGGATCTGAGCTTGCCCACTGTTTTCTTCTCTGCCTCCTTTTATCAGACTCCAGGAAGGACTCCTTGGATTTCCAGAACATCCTTCGCTTCTACACACTTACTTGATTGTCGACATGCTCATATTGTGGAGCTGAAGTTTCAACTCTTGAAGACTCATACCTTCTGGGACAGGGCAGTTTTTAATCAAGTTCAACACCTGGAAAACCAAGAGCCACCATTAGCACTCAGCTGAGCTTCTCTATCATGGGCAGACAGCACAGTTGAGGAAGAACTATCTGTCCTCAAAGAGTAACCGAGCTGGTGTTTCTGTGTCCTACCTCACACCACAGCAGCCTCTGCTGCGAACACTGTGCTCCTGGAGAAGCTGCCTGCACCCACCTGACTCTGATGCGCCGTGAGCCCATTCACTGGCAGGCTGCCACCTCCTCCATAGCCCCCCATCTCACCCATCCCACCGGAGGAAAACGACTGGGGCACTCTTGATGCAGACTGAAATTACAAGAGTAAAACTGCTGTGGTTACACAGGCTGCCGCAAGCCCACAGCATTAAAGACCTGGTGTTATTTCAGAGAAACAATAATTAAAAATAGATTCCCAGAAGAAACTGCTGGAAATGGATGGCAACACAACCTCTCTCCAAGGAAGCCAGGACTCATTACAGCTCCACTCTAGCCCTCCAGCAGTTTCAAGCCTTCCAGCCCCCCAGCACGTATACAATTTCCCCAATGAACCAAGAGGTTCCTCTCTTTGGGATATAACCAACAACCCAGTAAGGGCCAGGATGGAATCAGGATCTCGCCAAGTACATACCATAAGATTTTTTCTGAGGATCATATGTGCATTGACAATCTCTAGTATGTGTGTGGTGAACTCATTCATATTTTCCAGAGGCATGATCTTAAATGCCACCAAGCTTTTCTTATTCTTTCAAAGAAAAAAAAAAAAAAAAGGCAAAGGAAAAAAGTTAATAACACAGGAGCAGGAACATGCTTAACAGCCAATCCAACCATTCTCTCCAGGAACAGGGATAGTGGTGGGTAGGGAGCTTGTCTACATGTACTAGTCCAAAACTTTCTGCCTTACACTTTCTTGTGTGATTTTGCAAGACAATGCAGAGAGCAGAGCTTCTCTTTCTAATCGGCTGGTAATTAACTGCACTTTGCTTTAATGCATGCACTATTATTTATTTATTCATATATTTAGTTATGAGACAACCACGTCACAGAATATGCTACAAGAAACATCCCCATTAACCAGAACCTGGTCTAAGCTCTACAGTACAAACACCCAAGAACCTGGTGGCCGGTAATTCTGTTCCACTGATTTGTCCACAGGAAGGATGAGCAAAGGCCACAATCAAGTGGATATTCTAAAGGGAGCCCACTAACATTGTTCCCAATCACCAAACCCTCACACCAGCGCTCTAGCCTGGGGGCTTGGCCAGACATGGGCAACATCATCTCACCTGGAAAGACCGAAGATGACCAGCTACTTTAACATAAGTTCCTGGAGGTACCACAACATTCTCACCACCTGCCTCCTAACAGAGAGGAAAAGGAGAAAGGAAGGTTTCACTGATTCACATTTCCATTTCTCAATTATCAAAATAAATGACTTAGGAAGGAGGCTTCTCTGGAACAGCATGCGTTCCTATGTCCAGTAAGAGCAGTCAGGTAAACACAAACAGAAATGAAAAATAGAAAAACAAAACATTTGCTCGTTTGAACGCAATGTACACTTGACAGCAAAGCCAGCTGTCTGCTCTGCTGTCTGTCCACTTCTGAGAGATTTTCACTGAGCAACAAGAGTAAAGAACCCTCAAATTGTACAAAAGTAGGTGTTCAATTGTGTAACTTAGCTAGGGGAATGGAAGCAGGCCACAACCTTTTCAGAAGTGATGATAAACTTGCAGTTAAGCCAACTGAATGTCTGCCTCATTACTCTCCCAACCCAGATGTTTGCCTTCAAATATATGTTACAGTAACATGGTCTAGCTTTAAAGACCTGCTGTACCAGCATGAATGAAAGTCAGCAGCACTTCAGGAGTCAGGCATCAGAAAACAAGACAACGTTCATTCATACGTATCTTCACCTCAGTCACTGAGCCACATACAAAATCTCTGTTCACTCTCCTAATATTTCTACACTGGAGGGCTGAGCATGCATCTCTTGGTTCAGCTATGAAATAACAGCCGAGTTTCAGCACCTAAGCTCTAAGAAATTATACAAAGTGAATCAATGCAGTCTCATGCATAAATTACAAAACAGGAGAAGAGTCACACACAGCAACTCTGCTACAGCAGCAGCTCCCTTGGATTTCTGAGACACGTTATCCCTAAAACGCTTTTCAGAAAATCCACATCTTTTTGATAAAGAAGTCCTGTGAGGATCAGGGAGTTGGACTTGCTGATCCTTACGGGTCCCTTCCAACTTGAGATATTCTATGATTCTGTAACTTTTCTCTCTTCACTGCTCCCAAAAGCTTTTAAGGGAGTGTGTTGATAACGAATCTGATGCTTACATCAGTATCGACCCACTGCCTGACATCCATCGGGGCTGCCGTCATGTCGTCCACTTTGTAGAGAATGTTCGTCGGTGCTTTCTCGGCGTGTCGAATGATCCCCATAACGGTGACCTGCGGTGGAAGAGGGAAGAGTTTATCCGGGAAGGCCCCGGGAACGTTCCGTGTTTCTCCTCTCAGAGCAGCA